TCTCTGGCTCGCAGCAGGCAGCAACATACCCAACAGAATCATCTTGCTAAGTATGAATCTGGGCCTCCGCTATTGGCAAGCAAATCCTCCACATTGCTCATCACTTCTCTCCATTCCAACATTGCAAAAGGAGATCATCTTGGGAAGTCTATGTTTCGGATGCCGAATATCGTGCCCGCGGACTTCTCAAAAGTCTAGAACTTGATCTCTGAACTTCATACTTATCAGCGTAGAAACACATACACTGAGCAAGCAATCCATCCATCAAATTGGGACTCTTATATGCGTCAAGCCTACTGAGAAGATCTTGTCCATAGCACCATCTTGCTTCCTCGTATCGAGGGAGTCATTTGGTTGTTCAGTATAGCCAGCCAGCTGCCAGACAGAACCAAACGTCCCGCCAGTAGAACCCTTCACTAGAAGCTCACTCGAATGGTACAATCTCTCCACCCTTCTACTGTCTCATAAATCTCAAAGATCCATTCATTTTGCGAGTTCGAGTATCCTGATACTGGGATACGATTGATCGACCCGCCAGATTTCAAAAGCTTGGAAGCAAAACATAACGGAATGCAACAAGCGCGACGAATAAACAGCCTCCATCTCCCACCATATCCAATCCTATCCTATCAAAACATAACACTGCATCCATACGTTGCACAAAAAAGGACAATAAATTATACATAAATCCTGCACCGTCATTCTCTGTTGACATCGCCTCTGCTTCAAGAAGCGAGACTCGCCATGGGAAAAAACATATTAGCCTCTATTTCACCGTCCGCAAATCTCATCGGGGAAGAAAGGGTTCACGAAAGCGAAAAGTTCAGGGCGAGGACAAAAACATACAACAGCAGGTATTCGCTGGTGGTCACCCACCCAACTACTAATCTGCCGATCTGAGGCTTGTGTATGGCAGAGCGAACGGGATGCCCAATTCTCCTCAGTCTATGGTCGTATGTGTCATCTCATCACACTTCAGGTTCCAAATCCCAAGCACAAGACTCCGTACGGTGATGATTGGGGCAGGCAAAGTGTCCCCCTATCACAACACGATCGCAAACAGAATATATCAAGTAAGTTGACGTAAATGGCAAGCAGCTTACGTAACATCAAAGCGAGCTTGGGAGTGCACCTACCAAGGTATATACGCGCAATTAAGAGTTCACAGAATTTGAAGAGGCGGGTTTGTTTGAATGATTTGAATTTCGAAATAATAGTGTATCTTTGGTCTTCAATTGTCAGTACCGGTACCTACTTCAATCACGTTGTCTGCCATTTTGGGAGCCTCCCGTCACCACGCGCACTTTTTAACTGACCAATCAATTCCATTCGCTAAGAAAGGTTATTTGCATTTTTTCATGAGGCCACATTCCTCCTTATAGGGGAAGGAGCTCTCCGGTAATACAAAGCTTCGCAAGCTCGCTTGGACCAAAACATAAACCATCCCTCGAAACCAAGCTCCCCGTTTCCCGTATCAATGCGCAACCAGCCTCCATCTCACAGCATACCTCCACCTACCTACGGAGGTCAAACCGAGCCACCACCGATGGCAGCCGTGTGGGTAGGTCCCTGCCACAAACGATTCCCGCCGTCAAAACATCCCGGCGCCGCGCCTCCCGTCCTACATTCCATTCCGTGAATACTGCGGCAGCCACTCCGTTTGCTACATCCTCTCTCTCTCTCTCTCTACAAAGTCGAATTTGGCGCAGAGAGCTACAGACATGTAGACCGATGAAAATGAAAATGTATGAGTCTGAAATGAAACCTCCCTCCTCCCGCCGCTACACACCGCTCAACGTAGCGCTCTGGCTTGCAATTGAGCGATAGGTAGCCCACCCAGCCGGTGAAATAGAAACGCATCCGACGGACGGATCCGGACGTTCTTCGCGAACACCGGCCGGGCCAAACGAGATCGATAGGTAGTCCGCAGAGTTCTCTTGATAGGGAGAAAGGTGAAGAAACCCCGCGTTTGGGATTCACCTGGGGTTGAATCTGTGCGTGAAGAGATATTTGCTTGCTTGCTTGCTGCCATTATCGTGTAATCGCCAGAGTACCTACCGTTTTTTGGGGGGGGGGGGGGGGGGTTATCTCAGATGCTACGGACAAGCAAGCAGCTCTGGTCATCGCTCTGCTGGGAGTGGTATGGTCTACTAGAGGGAGGCTCTATACCAGACAGTCTGTATCGGGCGGAGAGCTGCGCGGTTTTAGGTCGGGGGGAAGAGGCTAGCTTTGTTGCTGTTAAATGCGAGCAGCGAGGTACAGGGTTGTATGCATAGTAGTAAGAGATAAAGTAGCTTTAAGAAGAGAAAATAAGCTCCTCTAACATCAATAGCAGATCTTTCTTTTTTCTTTTTTTCTTTTATTCCGCGGCAGCCGGCGCCGCTTCCAGGAAGTTCCAACTCAGGATCCGCGTAAAAGCGATGAGTAAACACGGCGAGTAGTCATACTATCCCCCCCCCTCC